GGGACAGCACTCCCTCTACAGAGGGCTCTTGTGTGATCAGCAATCCTGTGTCTGGCCTCCACTGCTACCAACACGCCAGTGACTCCTGATTCCATATCCCTACTGCACTCTCCACTGGATGTCTGAGCAGCACTTCAAACTTCATTTGTCCAAAACAAACTCCTAACTCTACTGTCCATACCTGCTCCTACTCCTTTTCCCAATTCTCATGAATGTCACTGCTGTAGACTGGAAGATGCCCCAACTTCAATGAGGCTTAATCCCCACCATTACCTGATCAGGGTGAGAAATCATATGGTAATTGAAAGGTGGGGCCTTGAAGAGGTGATTAGATTGTAGGACCATGCCCTAGTGAATGGATTAATAATGGTGGTCAGGGCTTTAATAGGAGAGCACATGCGGAGCGCTCTCTCTCTCTCTCTCTCTCTCTCTCTCTCTCTGCTTCACCATTCCTGCCATGTGAGACATGTGGGTCACTGTTATGCCCCCAAGGAAGACCCTCACCAGACGTGTTATCTGGAGTTTGGACTTCCCAGCCTCTGAAACTGTAAGCAATACATTTAGTTTTCTCACAAATTACCCCGTTCCATGTATTTCATTATAAGCAACAGAAACAGACTCATATAAAAACTTGGTATCTGAGAAGTGGGGTGTTGCTTNTTATAAGCAACAGAAACAGACTCATATAAAAACTTGGTATCTGAGAAGTGGGGTGTTGCTTATAACAAACACTTGAAAATGGAGAAATGGCTTTGGAACTGGATGTTGAGGAGAGGCTGGAAGAATTTGGAGGAGCAACCTAGAAAAAGCCTACCTGCTGGTGGGAATTTAGTAGACAAGAAAACAAGAGAAATTTTGGAAATTTTTAGAGATAGGTTAAATGGCGGTGAGGAGAATAACGATAGAAATATGGACAGTAAAGGCCATTCCAAGAAGGTCTCAGATGTAAATGAGAAGGGACTTGTTAAAAACAACTGAGGCAAAGATCACCCTTGCTATGAACTGGCAAGGAACTTGCCCCAAAGTTTTACGGAATGTGAAACTTAAAGGTGCTGACCCAGGGTATTTAGTGGAAGAAATCTCTAAGCAGCAAAGCATCAGGAAGCTGCGTGGCTACCTGCAACAGCCTATGCTAAGTTATGGCAGAAAAGGCATGAAGTAAATCAAAATGTATAATTAAAAGGGAAGCACAGTGTAAAGATTTGGAAAATTTGCAGCCTGGCCATGTGGTAGAGAAGCAGAGAGCATTATCAGGAGAAAACTCCAGGGGTGCTGCAAAGTGACTGGTTGCTAAAGACATTAGCATGGCTAGGAGGCAGCCAGGTGCTGATAGCGAAGACAATGGGAGAAAGGCCCTGAAGGCATTTCAGAGATCAAGAGGCTGAGTCTTCCATCACAGGCCCAGAGGCCTAGGGAGTCAGAATGCTCTTGGGGAACAGGCCCAAGGCACCCTCTAAGGACTTGCTGCCTCGTGCCGCTTTGGGAAGCTGCTTGCCACACAGCACCCTGGCTGCTCCAGCAGTGGCTAAATTGGCCCCAGATATGGCTGGACCTGAAGCTGTGGAAAATACAAGCCAGAAGCCTTGGCTGTGTCCACATAGTGTTACTTCTGCTGGATCACAGAATGACAGAGCTGTAGAAAGTTGAGATCCTCCACCCTGATTTCAAAGGATGTATAAAAAAGCCTGGGGGCCCAGGAAGAGATCTGTTCCACAGGCAGAGTCACCACAGACAGCCTTCGCTTGAGTGATGCAAAGAGAAAATGTGGGGTTGGAGTTGCAGCAGAAAAACCCCATCAAGGTCATGCCTAGTGGAGCTGGGGGAGTGGGACCACCATCAAGACCCCAGAATTGTGGAGCTACTAGCGTGCAATGCCAGCCTCCAAGAGCAAAATCACAGCTGAAGACCAGGAAAGCCATAGAAGTGGAGATGCCCAAGGACTTGGGGACCCAACTCCTGTACCAGCATGCAGAGGACATCAAACATGAAGTCAAGGTGCATAATTCACCAGCTGCAAGATCTGACGCCTACCCTGCTGGGTTTCAGACTTGTTTGGGGCCTGTTACCCTTTTCTTTGGGGCTATTTCTCTTTTTGAATGGGAATATGTACCCTATGTTTGCCCAACATTGTATCTTGGAAGTAGACAACTTTTACTGATTTCTCAGATAGGACTTTGAACTTTGGACTTTAAGTTGAAACAATTTAACTTTGGGGATGAAATGAATGTATTTGTGTGTGAAAAGGACATGAGTTTTGTGGAGTCAGGGGCAGAATGCTGTCGACTGGATGATCCCCCAACCTCACTGAGGCTTGATCCCCACTGTTAACTGTTGAGGATGGGAAATCCCATTATGGAAATTGAAAGGTGGGGCCTTGAAGAAGTGATTAGATTGTAGGACCATGCCATAGTGAATGGATTAATAATGGTGGTCAGGGGTGCGGTTCTGAGGGCTTTAAAAGAAGAGCACATGAGGAGCTCTCTGTCTCTCTCTCTGCACTATGCCATTTCTGCCACGTGAAACTCCTGGGTCACTGTTGCCCCCCAAGGAAGACCCTCACAGATGTGTTCCCTGGACTTTAGACTTCTAAGCCTCTGAAACTGTAAGCAATAAATTTAATTTTCTTGCAAATTACTCAGTTCCATTTATTTTGTTATAAGCAACAGTCGCCCAGTTGTCCCAGTTAGAAAACTGGAAGTCATCCCAGATTCACCTCCCAAACTGGATTTGTCACCCAGACACACTGCTTCTCTGATCTTGAATCCAGCCCCTTCCTTTCCTCGTCCTCTGCCACTGCCCTGGAATAAACACTCATCCTTTATTATTTAAATCAAATTAAATAATCCATGTCAATGGTCTAGCAAAGTACTTGGCACAGAACAAATATTCAAATGTCAGCCATCGGTACGAAAAATATTTTTGGAGGCAATATGGCACAATAATTAAGACTATTATTTGCAATCAATCAGCCTTTGTTAAAATCTTGGTTCCATCACATACCATCTGTGCAATTTTTAGGCAAATTACTAATCATCCTAAACCTCAGCTTTCCAAAGTGTAACATACTAATAAATAATAGTACCTGCCATAAGGCTGTAGTGAGAATGATATGAAATGAGGCATATAAAAAACTTATCTCAGTGCCTGCTACATAAGTGCTCAATAAATGTTGGTCATTATTATTATTAATAGACTATTGAACTAGATTTTTAATAAATCTCCTTGTAATTTCATTTCTTCTAACCTCAATCCCATACAATCACAATAACTAATTTTCTAAAATTCTAATCTGGTCATGTGACTTATTCCCTTGCCTACAATCACTTATTGAGTCCCCTCCCCATTGATAGAATAAAACCTCTGATATGATCCATAAAGAACTTCTTTATGCAAACGCTGCCTCCATTCCACATCTCAAACAGCTCAGTTTTCTGCTTGCACCTCAAGGATCTACCAGTTCTCTAAAGAGCGCGGGCTTCCTCCTGCCTCCTGGTTGCTTCTCCTACCTGCAATGCTCCCTAACATCAATCCCTTTCTCTAGCACACCTGATCACTTGAGGACCACCTATGCCCCCTTCCTGGGTCCATTCAAGTATAAGTTCTTGGAGGTACTGTTCCTGACCCAGTCTCCTCCTGTCCCTCAGGTAGGGTGGGGACCTGTTGTCTGTTATGACGGCACTCAATGCACACTTCCTACGCCTACTGGCCTTTTTGTTTATTTAACTGGCTCCACACCTCTGCTGCGAGCCCCTTGACAACAGGCACTGTGTCTTGTTCATCTCTGCTTCTCTTTTTTTTAGAACGGGGTCAGGCACACGAATGGTGCTCAAGAGATGTTTGCTGCCACAATGAATGCAAAATCTAAGCACCAGGAGAAATCACAAAGCCCTGCAGAGGTGAAGGAGGCCCAGAGATCAGTGATGATAAGATGAAGAATAGAGCTCACATCCCAATTCACAGAATCCCAGTTTTAAAGCTTTAGGGGGGTTCTGAGAGAACTGGAGCATCTTACAGACGAGAAAGCCCAGGTGGCTGAGAGGCTGGTTACTTTCCCCACAATTGCCCCAGGGCCCACGCCTCCTCAGACCTTTTTGGTTTCTGCCTTGTTGGATACCCTTATAAAGATCTTATCTACCCAAGATCAGGGACTAAATCTACTGCCTTCTATTCTACTACTTTAGTACATTTCTTTGTATTCATATTTAAATCTTTACTACAATCTGCAATTGGGGAGGGGAAAGGAAAGGGTGAAGTTAAGAATCTCACTTTTTTCTAAGTGTTTGGCCAGTTTTCCCAATAACCCTTTGCAGATGATCCACCCTCTCTCTACTCATCTCACAATCTGCCTTCTGCTGTATCACACTGTGGGTACACTTGGCTCTGACTCAGGGCAGGGGCGTGATGACGGGGGACAGGGGCACAGACTGAGCACAGCTCCCGAGTGCTCTCTCCTCCCCCTCCACTGGCCTCATTTCTTTGCCTTGCACAGCTGAGTACAGAAACCACCATCAGGGCCTCTCTGTTCCCACATGGTGGGGCTGCAAGTGCGGCCAGTCCACACAAGTCACAGGCAGTCCAGGGCCGTGGCTCCTGAACCCTCCGCCTGCCTCTGCCCCATCCCTTGCCCCGTCCAGTGAGAGGGCTTATAGGGAGCCTGTGAGTGCTCCACTCCTGGGACTGCTCCCCCTCAGGATGTAAGCCCACTGTGACTTTTCTTAAGCAAAGTCTAGAGCTCGCTTTGACAAATCTTCCTAGAAATCTCTGGCACGGAGGTGGCATTTATTCTTAGTTATCAGCACAAGGGCAGACATATTTTTCCTTGTGTATTCTGATTATCCTGTCAATGGGAATTGAGGGGTGGGTGGAATGGAACACCTGCATTCAAGTGCTCATCTTGCCAGGAAGCCGAATGGCTTTGTAATTAACACTAAATCCTGTCACTTGCAAATTCCAAGAACAACCTCTGCTTGGTAGCATGCAGTAAATAACACACACGTTACCTTTGATTGCTGCTAAGTATCCTCGGAGTTCTCGCTGAAGTCTGGTACCCTCTGCCTGGAAAACACACAAGCACAGAGATGCTAAACATCTAAAATTCTAATCTGGTCACGTGCAAACATGTTAGAAGCAATAAGTCTCAAAGTTACTAGTGCCAGAGGCTCATTCTTGAAAGAGCATAAATATGTGCACACAGACTGAACAAGGTGATAACACCCATCAGTCTACACATTTATAGAGCTATTATTCAGCTCAAAAGAACAGAAAAGGGCAAGATCTTGCTAAGAGTGGAAAATATGATCCTCTATACAGCCTCCTGTATACTCAAGAGCTATCAAGTCTCTACATTTTGACACATGGGCTTCAATAGCAGGGACTGACCATCACAATCCAATATGGTAGCCACGAGCCACGTGTACTTCTAAGCACTCACAGTGTGAATAATTCAAGCTGAGATGTGCTGTGAGTGTATTTTACATAGTAGATTTCAGGGACTTAGTGCAAAAAAATCTTGTTAATATATTTTATATAGATTACATGTTACAATGATAATATTTTGAAGATATTGAGTTAAATAAACTGCTTTATTTAAATTAATTTCACCTGTTTCTTTTTGCTTTTTAAAAATGTGGCCACTAGATAATTCTAAATTACATATATAGTTTACATTATATTTCTATTGTACTGCACCAAAATTAGAAGCATTGTTAAATCGGAAATTTTGACATACAAATGCTTGCTTTGGTGTGGATTTCCCTTAGAAACTCTGGCCACTAGATAATTCTAAATTACATATATAGTTTACATTATATTTCTATTGTACTGCACCGAAATTAGAAGCATTGTTAAATCGGAAATTTTGACATACAAATGCTTGCTTTGGTGTGGATTTCCCTTAGAAACTATCTGAAACTAGGATTGGATTGCAAGTAGTTTAATTTAAAGTTAATGCAGGAAATGCCAACAGGGGAGTGGAGAACAGAGGCAGGGAAGGAGGAGGCCAGCGCACAGTGCTCCCCAAAGTTACCACTGCAGGCGGCTGGGCCTCAGCCCCACTGGTGAACTCGGGGTGGGGTTAAACACACCCCTAACTGAGGGGCAAATGGACCAGGCATTCCCTCATCCTCCCCTGTCAGTCACTGGTCTATGGCTGCTCCAGGGGGACATTAACTCCCCTGAGTGTCTGCACAGGGGCAGAGAGGTCTGCAGTAGCCAGAGAAAGCCTCCAGGCAGAGAGCTGCCAATGCTGGTCATTGCAGGTCAGTCTAGTGGGCTAGAGATGAGGGAAGCAGCTTGGGCGCTGTGAGTGCCTCCCAGGGACCCATGCTTCTGCTCCCCTGCCCAGAGCCCTGTGTACCCATTCAAGGCAGGTGCTGCCTCTCTAGCCTGGGCTGATGGAGGGCAGAGGAAGCTCCTCTGCTGTGAGGTACTGAATAGCAAGCTGACAAAGTCCTTGCTATTCTACAGAAGCCAGCAAGGATGGCATCCCTTTTGCCTACTTCCCCTTTCTCCCTCCCCTTGAGGTCTGACCTTTGATTGAACCCAGGACACTGGAAGGTTTGTAAATGAGAAACTTATGTTCTTATTTTGTTGATAAGTAGTTAGCTATGAATCTTCAAGTACTGTGGCAGCTGAAAATGTTCTATAAATAGCTTGGTACCAGACATAACTGATATAATCAGTATGATTTCTTATTTTCACTGGCTTATAAAAAGGAACCTAAAATAAACTAGGATGCCATAAAGGTCAGCAGCCTGAAAGATCCTCCTGATCCCATAAAGTATGTCTCTTCATTTCCCACCATCTCCCCTCAGGGTACTGGTCGACAACATGCTGACTCGCACATTCCAGGAGTTAGGAGCAGAGCCCTGTCATCTGAAGCCACTGATGCTGTTCCCACACACGGCCTGACCCCCGCTGCCCGACCGTGACTTGCCATCAGCAGTGGCAATGCTGAACAACAAAATAAGCCCAATGGAGGCCGTGAGGAGAAAAGCCGTAAAGGCACTCACAGAAACTTTTCAGAAAAGCAGCCAAATTGGAAAGATTAGGGACAAATCGGGCATCAGCAAATGGAAGGACCAGTGGTGGTCAAGTGATGCAAGGAGATGGAAGGACAGCGAGAGAGCAGCAGCCCTGGAATCCCCTGTCCCATCAGACAGCAGGTAATCTAGAGAAAATAATACCTGACATCAGATGTGAGATTTACCTGCACAGATACACACCCACACCAATCCATAGCCTAAAGCCCTAAAAGGTGCAATTAGGAGGGTCTGAATCCCCCAAGGCCTCATTTCTCAAACTGGGTAAGTATAGTACCTGGGGGTACTTAATGGTTTGTCTGGGGCACACACAGCCACAGAATAAAGCTACAACACCTCCTCAGAACATCAACTTATGGAAGTGAGCAAAAAGAAGAGAACCCATTATCTCACAGCCACTCAGCCACCTGTGATGAAGTTGCATGAAGAACTGCACAGAGATTAAACACACGGCTTCCTGCACGCCTCCTGCCTGCAGCCATCAGCTCTGCCCCTGGCCCATCCATGCAGAAGTCTGAGGCGCTGAGCTGAGGCCAGGCTCACTCCTCACCCAGAAGGACGCTTCCCTCAGGAAGTCAAAAAAACAGCTGGGAAAACCGATCGTTATGAGTCGCCAGGATTGTTCAGAGTATCTGGAAGCAGCAAATGAACAGCAGGGAAGGCATTCGTTTCCCAAATATTCAAAAAACAATGTTACATCCAATTAAGCCCACAATTAAGTCATCACTTTTTCTTTCAGAACAAGAAAGAATGAAATAATTCAGGCTCCAATCCACACACTGGACCCATCTTGCCAAAGGGAAACAATAAAGGTTTTTAAAAAATGAAATAATAATCCCAAGAGAGATTTTTTACGCATTAAAAGAGAGGAAGAAAGTTGAAACTGTACAATAATGGCTTAAAAAGATGAGTTCAACTTAAGCAGAAAACCTGAAGGCTAGTTTAAATGACTTTCTTCTTTTCCAATTATTAAAATTCCTAATTTCGGCGGCGAGGCAAGGGCCGGGCGGTGGGTGTTGCCTTCTACCTCTGCGAGCGGGGTGGGGTTAGTTTCCCACAGGGGATTTCAACCATCACATTCAGAGCCCGCCTCCTAATCCTCGGGCGGAGCTCGGGGACCCCATTTTATGGCAATAACGCCTGCTGAGCGAG